AAAGTATTCCCTAAGTTTGTGTATTAACAATGAGTTATGCTAATTTCCATACTTTGTCAGCTTCCTCAAATGTGGAAGTTCATTTTGTGGTGAGAGGTAGATTTATCACTACAATACTTCTCTCCATCTTGGGTTTTAATAAGATCTGCAGAATTTTTTTCATATGTAATGCAGTGAAAGCCAATGTCAACTATACTTGTTAAAGGCTATAGAGCACAATTAAATTACATACATACTCTAACAGTGTCAGCTGTCTGAGGTCAGTCTAACCAAGACTTTTTTTCTTTTTTCACATTTTCTTAATGCCATCAAGGCATTTCTTTCTTTCGTTAATTTTATTTTTCATTTAAAATATATTTTAGAATGTTTGCACTCATATATGTGAGTAAGAAATACATATATATTAGGAAAACGATAAGAAAGAGAACTTTAAAACTGTGTATGTCTAAGGTGAAATGAAACTGGTCGATCCTATTGGCCATAATATGTTTTCATTCAAGCTACAAACCCTAATTTGTGTTTTATAGGCCTACTGAACAGTGAGCTGTATTGACGCGCTGCTATTTAGTACTCCCACTGCTGATACTCCAGCTACCAGCCTACAACATTTCAGCCTCTTCTTTTCTATTCCGACCAAATACCTAATAATCTTCCCGAATAATAACTAAATACGTTTTAACAGATTTGTAAAAGGTCCAGTAACTATTTTATCCAAACCCAAACTGACCTTACAACCAAAGGGCAGGACTTGAAACAGAATGATTTGCCTCCAACCTAAACGACCATATAGGTTGTTTGTCCTGCCCTGGAATACGACTCATAGGTGCGTTTTGGGAAACATCGTGGTTAAAATAAAGTAAAGTAAAATAAGTAAAAATCTATCTATCTATCTATCTATCTATCTATCTCTCTCGCTCTCTCTCTCTCTCTCTCTCTCTCTCTCTGTCTCTCTCTCTCTCTCTAGTTTGGATTAAAATAAGCACATTCTTAAGGTTAGAGGGACTTTGTCATCATGGTAACAATGATAAACTTGCAGTTAAGCGTATTCAACAGTTGTGGATAAAAGAAAAAGGACTAGTTTCCCATGGGAAACAAACAGCGATCTCATGAGTAAGAGTCCTGCGTTCTGTCCATTCATCCATCCAAACTAACCTTCCTTCCTCAGACTAAAGACGATGTCATTTGACTTCCTCCTTTGCTCCTGTCATAACTACTGTGGCCACTAGAGGTTGCTTAGCAATGGAACATAACTGTGGGTCATATTAAGCTGCTTGCACAGACAGCTAAACTTCTCGGTGAAGACTTCTCTCTGTCCCAGCCCCTGTGTGTGTTTCTCCATTGTTAAAGAAAACAAACAGAGACAAATTGGTAGTGTTGCATAGCAAACAATGAGCACTATGGGAGGGAGGGATAAGTTTTGCTCTGGCCGCACAATAACACTCACATATTCAAATTCACTGCACTTGCATATGCCTCCGCGTCTGAACCATGTGGGGAAACCTCTGCCTTACAAAATAGTGGCTCTTAACCGATATGTTCATAATTTCCACCACTGGAGTCATGTCAGCTTCACGTCTAGCTTTCTGTCTTGAAAGTGTATGATGGAAGTACCCCTTTGTGTCTGTTTATTTATGTCTGCTGGTGTTCACCTGTACAGTCTTAAAGGTGTTTGAGGTTCTTGATAGCACTGGGATGGCCAGCCAAATCTGGAGCTCCTGGGCCAAGTGTTTTTTCTATAGGACATACACTATAAGCCCTTATCTGTGCCTGAAACCCCTTTTTTGGTTTGGCTTGTCTTTTGGTTTTATTTTCATTATATTATTCACACACATCCACATTTAAACTACCAATGCCACTGACTACCAGACCTCACAGCCTAATAGAGCCTTTACATGTGGTCACTGCAGCATTTAAAGTTATGATTGGTTTGAGTATTTCACTTAATCTCTTACATGATGAAGCTACGTTTAAGTAATAAGATCACCCAACTAAAGGTGCAGCATGAGTTTATTGACTCTTTAGTTACTGATTCCTGTCAATTCCAGCCATTATGAATACTAATGTATGCGGGACCTGCCTCAGAAATGAGGTGGACAAGAAAAGTGCTGAGTGGGTCTGACTGAATAAAACTGCTGTTGCAGTACTGTCATTGTACTACTGCAAACTTTATGCTAATATTACAACTGGGCCTCTCAGCAACCTTTTGTGACTGTCGCAAGCCCAACTGCAACTTTTTCGACTGTATTACATACCATAATACTACGGATGAACATTGTCATCATTACTGTCCTGGTCTTAACAGTTGTAGACTCAGAGTCCAGCTGATTCATCATATCTGCCATCTCATCGCCGTAACAGTACGTTGGTGTATGTATTTTTTGGCTGGTAAGAAATTGCAACAGAGAAATGCCAAAGATTAAAGCTACAGTGGTTGTCAAACTTTTTCACATCATGGATCTCTAAACTGACACAACGCATTTGATAAGATTTTATACCAGGCTCCCCCCAACTGATAACATTTTTTGCTTTTAGATGTTTTATTACAGAAAGTGTTTGATACCCATGACCAAAATAGTCATACATTATGTCACTGTACACACCTATGGATGGAAGTATAGTGAAAATAAATGATTCCCCTTTTTGCTTGGGACCCCCAGGAACACCCTCAAGGACCCATGGGGGTCCCTGGACCTCACTTTGAGAACCACTGGTAGCATTAACACATTTTTTTAACTGTACAATGTTCTGCTTAGTGCACATTTGAGCTGCAAATTGTTGATAAATGAAAGTCAATAAATAAAAAATGTCTATGTTATGTTCACGTTTTATAAGAGAAGAGTCTAGACCTGCTCTATTTGGAAAGTGCCTTGAGATAACCTCTGTTGTGAATTGGCGGTATACAAATAAAAATTGCCTTGATGTTAAAAAGCTAATACCGGCAGAGGTATTGTTATTACATTTTTGGAATTCTTAATTATTGATCTTGATATTGACATCGTGCAGTATCGATCATACTCTCGAATTATAGTTATAGTCATTATGCATTCTTGACAGGACAACACAAGATTACAGAGTGCAATAGAATTATAAAAAAAAAATATATGACAATTATAAAAAAAAATATTTTTGTTCTAAATTTCGCAAATTACTTCAATACAAGTGTAGTTGTATAGATATTACACATAGCTGCAGATGATAGGAAAAATGCACTTGTACTCGCTCCTTGACTTCATTATTATCTCTGTAAAAATACTTTAAGAGTGTGCCACCTATGTTTTGTAACCTGGCTGCAGCCTCAGAAATAAGAGGCCCCTTGTAACCTAATCGATTGCCGAGCAGAGAGGGAGACTGGGTCCACACTCTGTGATCCGTTTCCGTAACTTCCCAGAATAGCAACTCGGGCGGTATTGTCTGCTGTTCTGCTCTGCTCTGCGCTGCTCCGGAGGACATGGAGGAGGAAGTCAGTGGTGGATTCAACAACTGTTGCTTTTGTTGCTGCTGCGGAACCAAACTACCGTTCAGTCCGCGCTGCGTGGCGCATCTCGGGCTAGAATGAAGTCTATTCCAAGCCGAGACATTCAGTCTGGATCAATGTGCAAGTTCATGGGGATATATAAACTCCAACGTGTTTAAGGTAAATAATAAAAGAGAGCGAAAGAGGCAGAAGTGCATGGATCGGTTTCCTGTATTAACTAACCATTCTGTTGCTGCTTTAATATGGCTATTCAATATCATTCGAGTATCAATAGGCTACCGACGCTTCAGACCTGCTAGAGGCGCATGTCTGCAGCAGAGGCAGACAAGGAGCGTCTGTCTGATGAATGGAAAGCCAGACGGGCTCTGCTGTAGACTGCGGTGATCGGATAACCTGTTGAATTGCAGCTGTCAGTCAGCGCCAATCCACGCAGGCAACACAGCCTGCAAAGAAATCACTTAACAAGAGAAACACAGCGCGATGGCACAATAACAACCAAAGTCGCTTCAGCGTTTTTTTTTTTTTTTTTTTTTTTGCTTAGTTTTTTTTTTTTAATTATTATTTTTGCAGCTGGTGGTTATTTCCAGAGATGCTCTGTTGCCTACCAGGTAAATGCTCCCTGTCCTCACCGCTTCATCTGTCTGTGCATCTGCATAATAGAGTTCTCCCACCTCCTTGCTGCTAACATAAATATTAATCCGGCAACCTAAAGTCACGTTGTAGACAGACTAGGAAGTAGGCTGGTGTCAAAGGTGGCAGGCCTGTCAAATGAGAAAAGGGGGGGGGGTGTTGGGAGGGAGGGGGGTGTGTGTGTGGGGGGGTCATTTTAATTAGTGAAATTTCTGATGGGACAAGTCGTTGTTTTTGTCTTACGTTCTGTAATGCCTTCTGAAGGTGGTAGTAGCCACGCAGCAGGTTACCCACGTTTAATGTGCCACCACATCACGTTATCCCCCATTCTCTGCAGCAGCACTTACAGCGCGCGAAGCTCTGCCGGTAGGACCTTGAGTCATATCTCCACAATAGCTTTTCAACATTGCCTACCCACGGATTTCCAGTCCTTTGGTTGTTGAAAATAGCTTGGCTGCTCCCTGCCGCTATGGCTAATTCCTTTGGAACCGGTGGATCCAGTTTGATCCATCCCTCTCTTTCTTTCCCTTACCAACTTGTTGAGTCTTCCCCCTCCTCGGTGTTCCTACTGTAAAAGTTCACTGTGAAAGGCTCAGCTAATCGGTGTGTAACTTCTGCTGAAATGTCGCAAGTTTGAATCAAGTGAGTGGCGAGCTCGATGGGTCGATTTTAAAGTGGAAAACTCGACGGGAAGCGCGCAGACGAGGCTTTGACGCAGCAGCAGTCACCTGTAGGATACTCAGATGCGCTCCTCTTAAACTTTTCTCTGCTTTTCTGAACTTGCTCAGGCGAATTTTCACATGGTTTACATGTTCTTGTCATCGGACTATTGTTGAAACTTGCTGACCTTTAAAAAAAAAAGTTGTTTTTTATTCTTTCATAGTGCGAAATCGCTGGATGAAATAGGTCATTTTGACTTTTTTGTTTCTTTAAAGGGAGGTGGAGACATCTTACCACCCCCCTCCCCCCGTCCTTGACTGAAATTACCAACTAATTTTGCACAGGGGAGACACTTCAAGGTAATTATAGGAATCCACCTTTTTTCTATGTATTGCATTTTACTTTGTTGTTTTGCTTTCACATTTCACTTTTAACTTTAGCTGCTAAGAAATGTATCATAGCTATAACCAGAACCTAAATCAAATGCTTTTCAACTTGCTGTTAGTGTAAAATGGCCAAAAGTTTCCTCCATGTAGCTGCTAAGTGAGGCTTACTTAAGAAAACTGCTGCTAGCTCTATCTTTGTTACACAGTAAACTGCTATTAGAAAATAGAAATAAGGATGTGGGACATTCTGCATTTGGCCTGCAGATGTTTTTTTTTTACCTTTAATGAAGAACAAGTTAAGCTTCATGTTCTTCAAGGAAGCCAGCAGTTGTGCTGTGACAAATTTATTATGTGATAAAACTTTGTGTTTAACAAACCATTAGAAAAATAAAACTATATTACAAGTCTTTCAGATGCAGTGCATTTACAATTCATCAATCGTAACACACTTACTTTAAAAACAGATCTTCTACTCAACAATAACAGTGGGTTGAGAGATAAAGATGAACCGAAATGTAAGTTTGCAATTAATTAGTAATTAATGACTTATTTACAACTTCAAAAGGTGACCGTAGAAACCAGATATTACAAACATGCCCATAAATGTGAGGTTTAGAAGTTGCATGTTAAAGTGGATCTCTGCACAGCTGAAACTCAGTGAATTTTAGTGGTTTAATTCTCCCTCTGTTTTACATTTTTGATTTATTTATTTAATCTTTTTTTTTTCTTTTGCCTGTTTTGAATGGGAACACTATGGCTGATACAATCAATCACATAATTTCTGTCTCTATCATGGACCTCATGTATATTATATATAAGCCATAATTGTGTATTGTCATAGAATGCAGAAAATTGATCTATAATTTAACTGTCACTTAGACAAGAATGTATTTTATATAGATAACATGAAACTAAAATTTGGCCATTCACACATTTAAAATAGTTTAAAGTGTAGCATGCTAAATATATACGAGGGACTGCTCTAATAAGACAACTGCACAGACCAGTGCCTCTGTTGGAAAGGACCTCTGTCCACCGGAATTCATGCATCTAAAGCTGCTTAGCGGCTGTAAATATGGGTATTAGTGTGATTTTAGACTAATTGATAGTTTTTAGGCTCATAGTGTTTGTGTGAACACTTGATCAAGGTTAATCCCGAAGGTGCTCATCATTGTTGTATACTGTGACACACAGCTCAGGCTGCATAGCTTTTGAAATACACACATCTGGTTAAATAAATCAGGAATAAAGACTAGAAGTATAAGCATATGTGCAAAAAGTCTTTGTGTTACGGTAACATAAAAGTCACCGTCATATTTGGTTTTGTTCCCTGCAGCACTCCCAAAGCACTTGAAATGGAGGCTCCCGATGACTATTGTGCTAGTAAGTCCTCATATTGCTTACACATTACAACCAATACACACGGATAGTCATTGACTCACACTTTATGACCGGACAGAGTTTGTACAAAATATCAAAATGTGTGTCTGTGTTTTGTTGTGCTGATGACGATAACGCTGAGGATGATAATGATCGTGTCTACATGCTATTATGTAATTGTGGCTGTGACGTTATTAATGTATTTTGACTTTGACATCGTTTCCACCTTTTTGACATAATGTTGATACAAAAAAACAACATTTTTGCAATTACAACAGTGTAAACATTCAAGGGATTTTCCCCCAGTGCAGCCCTTTTCCTGTTCACCCCTTAAAGGTAGAGAAAACGAAGCATTAGCGACATCCTGTTGAACACAGTAGATACTGGATATGCACTTTGTGGTGCTCCATTGCCCTTTACTGGTTTCCTTTGGGCAGGTCTCTTGAATATCTTGCCTGCACCCCTTGTATTTTGCTTTGGTAAGCATATCTGAAAACAGGTAGCATGTTGTTGATGACATCATCGGGGACTTTTAGGTCTCCATTGGGGGTTTGTACTTGTAGGAACACTTGGCAGGCGGGGTAGGGGTGGTGGCGGAAGAAGAAATGGAAGCTCTTCCTCTCCTTGTTTGTCTGTGGGATGCTTCTGAAATGATAGTTTGGAACAAGTAGTGCCTGGTCTGTTCTGTTAGCGTGAAACTGCGGAAAACACGCATCTTTGTGGAACGCGACTGTTTTTATCCGAATTTGCTCCCATGTATTTTACTCATAGGTCAATACATTAGCAAGACACTGCTGACTGTGAGAGAAGATTAAGGTCAAACATCGTAATGGTTGTGAGATACATCATCATAATCACTACACTCTCCTACACGCACTACTACACTCTACTACACTAAACCCGACCATCCACTTTATATCCGAACATATTCTTCTTTTCCCCATTACAGAACACAGAAATGTACTTTCTCATACGCATAGTAACAGTACCCTACAGTAGTAGTGTGTATCAACTGTATGTGAGATACATTTTATTGGTAGCATGAGTGCACATAAGGTCAATGCAGAGACATGAGAGGTGTCATATTCCTCCTGGGAGGCACAGGTTGAAAACGATGCATCAAAACTTTCAAACTGAGCAAAATTTTATCCAAGGCTTCGTTCACTTGAATGAGAATGTGGGCTTTGATTTCTGTGTGTGTGTGTGTGTGTGTGTGTGTGCGCGTGCGTGTGTGTGTACAGTAATGGTCAAAACTTTTAGAACACCTCCTTTTTTCATTTTTTCATTTCATTTTGCATAATTCCACATCACAGTGTCTCTGAAATTAAAGTATAGAGCAAATAAATAACTGGAGATTTTAAAAGCCAAGAATCATTGAATATTTTTGTTGAACAAGATTTAAACAAAATTTTTTGACTTGTCCAGCAGCTGCATACACTTATGGCGTTCTGTCTACAATGTACAATGTTTAAGTCTGGAGACTGTGCTGGTCTTCCACCACGTGAAACCACCGTCTAAATGTAAAAAAAAAAAAAAAAAGAAGTAGCTGATGGAGTAAACTACTTTTGCCATGTTGGTGTAGCTTTGTAGCTTAGCTAGCTACATTTCTCTGGGGATTGCTTCAGTAGCTTCAGTGTAGTGACGCTTCAGAGTGGGCTTTTGTGGCTTTTATGACGGGGCGACTCTGATTGCGTTACTTGCTGTCAGTCAAATCTGGTAACACTGTTTATGAGTCCAGTTCATGAACATGTAGACACGAAACACAGGAGATGAGTCTTAAGGATATTATTTGAAAATGATAGGCTTTGAGACCAGTCAGAGGCTGGTCATCAGTAATACTAACTAACTTAGAACTAATGTCTAAAGTTGTTACATTGGCTGTTTGGGATGAAAATACAGCAATCAATTCTTTTGGAGTTATATGCCCCACAAACAAGGTGGAAAATATTTGAATTAGTATAGTTGTGTGGGAGAGCACTACTATACTCATTCATATGAACTGTAGATACTGTTAATGTCTATATGTAAAAGAGAATAAGAGTATCTGTGACTCAGAATCGTAGTATGAGACATACGACTTGACACTGTATAAAATTTTATGTGATTGATAGGATTCGTGGTTCCAATCTCTGATCAGCTTAAGACATTATATAGAACATGCGCATAAAGAAGAAGTCATCGTTAAAATTTAGACATTTTTGCTATCGTGCTAACACAACATGAGGCCCTTAATTGCACTGTGGTTGGATTTGAATGCTCCTTGTAGCCCAGATGTTGACAGCAGAATGTACAAGGTTTGTTTTTATGAAGGCCGTTCAATAATCGAGAACTGAAGCTGCCTTCCTCTTTAATCAACCGACCTTCCTTTTTCTTTAAACACTCTTCTCACACCATTATTGATAACCACGTGAGCTGCCTTTGTCAGTCATTCTCTGCCCCACAAGTTAACATACTCTCACATGCAATTTTACTTTTTCCTACACAACACGCTGCTTTGCTCCTCCACATAGACCATTATGATTTATCACATACGCAATCATTCTCTCACACATATTATCCCACTCTCTCACACGCGTCATTTTGTTTCACATGCTCGTTGTCACATAAATATATTATGATAGTAATTCAGACACACTTCTTCTGTCACACTTCTGAGTAATTCGATATTTTCATTCTCGCTCACACACACTGCTGTTTTAAAGAAAATAATTTTTTCTCAGTGTTGCTCCTGTACTGATGACCAACAATGTGTCGAACATTTATCAAGGATGATTATAAAGTTGTGTTATTGCTGCATGAAAAGAATGAGATAAATACTTCCTAGTTATTTAGTATTTAAAATTTTAAATTCAAATTTGGCTTTTTGTATGACAACAGTTTAGCACAGTTTTGGTTGCAAAAGATGTAATGATTCACAATGTAAGAAACAACGCAATACTACACTACGTACACTATATAATAGTATACAACACTATACGACAACATTGCTATACTACATAGTATAGTATAATTAAATAAAAAATAAAACATCCAGTAAACATTATGCAAATTCAGTATGCAATTATACTCAAAAAATAACTATTATGACAATCTGAAGTTATGTAGTCTACCCACCACATCATGTCAGACAGGATAAGCTTGTTAATATCTGAATGGCAATACAATATCCAATACGTTTGACAGCTTTACATTGTAGGTACTTGAGCTAATACTAGTTTTAGAAATTGACATAACAAGGTCTACTTCACACCCTCAAATCCTGAAGGTCCCAGTCCAGAGCTTTTAAATTGATAACCCTGAAAAAATATTTGATATGCTTTTAGGATAAACTGTGAGATTTTACCATCTGTTTATCAGCGAGTCATTGGTCACTGACATTTGTCTGATGCTATCAGATTGTTCTCTAAGATAAATATTCTGTTGATCTTTTAAACAGGAAAAACCCACAGCCTAATCTAGTTTAATGTTCTGTTTTTTGCTCTAATTTGATGGTGGTGACATTATAGTACAGACAGGTGCAAACATCTCCCGTGTAATGCAGAAATCTAGTGGTAGCCAACTGAAAAGATAAAACAGATTAAAACTAATGAGCTGCATTAGTTGGTGTATAATTTGAGTTGAGCAAAGTTTCAGTTCATCAATGAGCCCCATCAGCCTCTAAACGAAACTAATCACATTTTCTGAGCTCCTGCACAATAATCCGTGAGGAAGCACTGGGTTCAGTATCATCTTAAAAACAACAAAAAGTATTTCTTCAAAGCCCTCAGATTGCCTCATACAGTACTCATTTTGTAAACTGTCTTCTTTAACAAATTCTATTTCCACATGCACTAGTAAGTGGTGAAGAGTGGTGTTTCTTTCAAACCATGTTTGACCAAACATGAGCTAACACTTCAGCTAAGAGAACACATAAAACGAGCAGCATACACACATTTCAATTTTAGTTTGACCATCTTAAGTAATAAACATTTACAACAGTTACATATATAAAGACAGCATTGTTAATAATGTAAGTATTTTATATGTATTATTTAAAACTATCACAAACAGTGATATGATTGTGAATATAAGAGGGTGTAGTAGAGTTGTGGTAGGAGAGTATAGTGGTGTGTGTGTGTGTGAGATTATGATGGCGATGTGTGTGTGTGTGTGTGTGTGTGTGTGTGTGTGTGTGTGTGTGTGTGTGTGAGAGAGAGCGAGTATGATTTATGATCTGAATAGTCCCCCTTCTTCCAGAGACAAATGAAAATTATCAGATTTAGCTAGCTAATCACAAAGTTTTTGTCACACTTCCATCTTAGCTCTACAGCATTAATCAAAGACCCTCCATGAATGCTGCAGCAGGTGGCAAGGTTATTCAATAGCTGGACTTTACTATTAATTCTTTACTGTTTTCACTTAACTCTTGAGATCCACTCTGCAAATAAGTTAAGATTAGTTTTCTGTGGAGGTGGGCTTTACCAGTTTTCCCTCCTTTCATGTCACCCCCACAGACACAAATGTAGATTACCACAAATAGAACACACCGCTGCGCTCTCTGGCTTGGTAATTAACAGCAGGTGCTTCTGTAATACTTCTGGAATGAAGTGTGTAAGGCAAAACTATTCATTTATTCACAAATGAAATTCGTCAATTGTATTTCCAATACAATATTTTATACGTATTACAAGTATAAGTTAAGGTTTGTTTATCTCTGTATATTTTTTCTGTGTATTGGGTCAATGCTGCATGCGTATCTGTGTGTTATGAATCTGTGTCTTAAGGAAGGTTCAGGGTTTGACAGGAAAAACCAGCTCCCATACAGTTTGTATCCAGCAAACCAGACCTCGCCGCTCCATAAAAAGAATCTTATTCAGTTCTTTACACAGTTAGACATGGGTGCTGTGAATCATGTTTTGTCATCTTATTCACTTCGACCATCACAAACAGGCAAATGGAGCTTAACCTTGGTTTATTTTGGTTGTTTTCAGAGCCTTGTCATAGAATATCATCCCTGAACCTAGATACCATTTGTAATTACTTGTGCGCCTTTATCAATAAGTTGCAAGACCAGAAATTGAATCAACTCTTATTAGATTACTGAGAGGATGACTGTACCTTAAAGCTATGCATTCATTTGGCTTCAGTGATTAAAGTCAGCATTTATTACACCTACAAGTTTCAAGTGTACACATTTGTTCCTTTCCATTTGCCACCACATTAAATTATCCCAATTTGGTGCATTACTCAAAGTACCTTTCCCCTGGCAAGTCGCGCCTGTTTAATATCCTCATCTTACTGTTCGTACAGGATTGACTCAGCAAACGCGGGGCACCAACGCAAAACTTCAATTCAATCCATGCAAGTGTGTGTGTGTGTGTGTGTGTGTGTGTGTGTGGAAATGCATGTACTTTAGTGGCTGTGTGGGTGCATTTGACCACTATAAGCAACAGATGAACATGATATAGTCTTTCTTTCATGTCATTCTTTGTGACAAAAACATGCTGTTGACAGGATTATTCATGAATGAGCACACTTCATGAATGGTATTTTAATATTTGACCCATATTATTAATGTGTGAAGGAATTTACTTTAACCCTTTCAATACAAAATAAATAAATAAAATAACACTGTTAGAATCTGTAATGGTGGGTTCTTATTTTAGCATTTTGGCCCCAGGAAGCCCAAAACTATTAGTTAATGTCTGAGACAGTCTAGCCATGGTGCTGCTAGGTAGCTGTCAGCGTCTGCTACAGTAATGGAAAATCTTTCATGACAAATCTGGGCCACTCCTGTCTCCAGGACAGCGCTGCCAAGGGATAGCCAGCGTCAAGTCACCTGAGATTTCCTCCAACCCCAACCTGTGCAACCCGAGCTCAGGCCCAGGGATTGTGTCATGGACATCGTCTCCCAGTATGCCCCACTCAGTGGGGTTGCCACTACAATGGAACAATACCACACAAGAGGTTGTCAATTTTAGAGGAGCTGTCACAACAAGAGGAGATCTGACACAGATTTCTTTTTCATGTATGAGGGATCATTGTAGACATATTCAGCACTGACAAATTGTAACAAGGCCGTCTGTAGCAGTTTCAGATGCAGCATGTAGCACGGCCCTTTGATTTTTACTGAAACTTCCTCAGCTACAGCTGTTGCTCCATCAATTTTAAGAGCATGAGACAGTCTGGAGTTATCATAATGCATGCTTTCCAGTTTTTCATAGTTGTCAGTATGCTTGAGGAAAACTTTTAACTGTGCTGGTGGTGAATGATGGCTCACTGTGGTTCCTAAGGGATCTGACACCTGGGTCAGCAGGGGTGTTTGCCTGTTGCCACTGTATTGTTCTAGTGACCCTGACGGGGCCGGGGTGTAAGGGGATAAGGGATTGGTTTGCTCTCCCTCTGAGTGGACACAGGGCTATCCATAGCCTGGGTTCTGTACAGGCTGCTGAGAGAATGCAATCTGATCCACATTTGCTGGACGTTAGGATCCCATAGGTGAATAAAGACAGTTCAGTTTGTTGCCTTCTGGGTTCTGTAATGTCACCCCTATAGAGACCATTCAGGTTAGGCTAAGAAAGAGATCTGACAGGGATGAAATTATTCTAACCTAACACACAGATGCCATATATGATGTGAACTGTTAGCTTAGCTAGAAATTTGATCAACTTTTATTCATTTTCACCATCTGTCTAAATGTGACTAGACCAGAAATATTTTTTATCTCATGTGTGGTATGTATTCTGACTGTTTTCAGCAACAACTGACCTCTCACTTGACCACATTACTAATTTTCTTCATCCTCATCTTGGCTTTTGAAACAGTTTGATGAGCCCTAGTCCTTGACTTTTTTTTTTTTTTCACATAACAGCATTGTATTGTATTTATTGTACTACTACAGTATTGTACATCACAATGAAGATTGCTGTGTTTCTGTTTGTCTCCCAGGTAACGGCAAATTCTCTCCTGGTAAGGAGAACTCGAGAATGTTGGCAGATATGTCAACACCTAATGGACAGACAGTTCCTCAGGGTCCTAATTCCCCCAGTGGTGAGTGCTCAGTCAATAGAAACACATTTGTGTGGTCTGCCGAGAACAGCTATGCGCACATGCAGTTTCTCCTTTAAGCACACACACTGTTCTAACTGACTAGATCGGTTGATTTTGATTAGTGTACTTTGCTCTTCTTATTTTAAGTTACTCTTAATGAAACTCAACTCTTTCACAATAAAAGCTTCCGGGGAAGGAAGGATTACTGTATTTCCTCTGAATGAAGGAAGGTTGTTAATGTGAAATGCAGTAGATTGAGGATGTTTCTACATTAGTTGCAGTATGGAATCAACATGGTAAATGTGAGCACAAAAAAAGTGCTCTTGATGTTTAAGTCTGTGCCTTGCATGGTAGTTTGCCCTAATCAGTGTATGAGCATGTGTATGAAGGAGCGAATCACAATCAGAGAAACTTTTTTGATCCCTGCGGGGAAATTGCTTTTTTACAAATGCACAAACATGCAGTTAGAAAAAAGGAAGTAAAGAAGTAAAAAGGTAAAAAACTACTATAAAAAAAGTAATAATGATAAATTCACAGTAAGTGAATGAAGTAAGAAAAATGTAGAAATGGAAATGTACAAAAAGTAATGTGTGAGGTAGAATTTCTAGAGCTCTTTCACAGTGTCCTGTCTCCTCTGGTAGTGCAGTCCACAAACTGAGTGAAAGTGGGAGTGAGTCTTGTCCAATTGAAGTCCCCTGGGAGATCATGAAGAAAGCACTGGGGTGCAGAGTCTGCAGTCTTGCAGTAACAGAGTGGATGATGGGTTAGCGGAGGGGGGGATGTAAACAACAACCATTATGGCATGTGAGAACTCCCTGGAAATGTAGTATGGATGTAGCCCCACGGCTAATGGCTCAATGTCTGAGCTACAGAAATGTTTTATTGTGTCCACCCAAACAGTGTGAAAGCTGAAAAACTTTGAGTGTCAAAATGCAAAGCAAATTATGCATAAAAGCACTAAAAGAATTATAAAGAAGAAACAAAGAAAAACTGGGTACAGTTTGTATGAAAATGCCGTACTGCACCTTGTTGTACCATATTGCTCTTGTACTGTACCGTAAGGGTTGCTTGGTTCCTTTCAATGTATTGACCTGACGCCTCAGATTAGCTTTAGCTATGTCACTGTGAAATAGCAAAGTAAGAAAAGGGGAAACTCTGTGAAACAAGGGACACGAGTGAGAAAAAGGGAAGCTTCTTTCCCACAAGTTAAGAGATACAGGGAGGTGGGCTGGGTGATGGTTTTCACAGGGAGATACTCTTCACCGATAAGACCTGTTGTCATTCTGGAAGTTGCTTAACATGATTTGCCATTTGAGGTTTTGTTACAAAAGAAGGGCTGCATCACATCATCTGTTGAAAATGAACATGAAACCATGTCAAATTTCAGTGCCAGACTCCTAAACTTGCCAGCTAGAACATAAACTCCGGTTTTGTAATTGTAACTGGTATTGTAAACTCTGTCTGGTAATAAATGATGATCGGTCAAATTACACCCTTTGGGCTAGGTGACGGTTTGGCTGGTAAGATAATGACTTCTTCAGAAAGCAGACATCCTGTAAACATTTCAATCAGTTGTGAGCTTTATCTCGGATTGTGGAAAACTTGATTAATCGCAAAAGTATAAATTAAATACTGCTTTTGTCGTAGCAGCCCTTTCAAGCGTATCCTCATCTGACCACTCTCTGCTTCCAACCCTGCCACACTGGTGAGACAGATGTAAAGATGCAAGGAGCTGAATAGCAAGGACGTTCAGGTCTGCTCCGTGTTGCCAGGATACAGCTGTTGAAGACACGGGTATTGGTATAAGTGTTGTGCACAAACGGTGGCAATGGAAATATACAGTATAAGTATGAAGAATGGTCGATAAAAAAAGGAAAATGTAGTCTGAATTACTAAATTTCTTGGATGCAGCTCCAAAGCCTGAGGGGACAGTTGAAAGATGCAATCAGAATGGAGTTTTTAGTAAAACAACCACATGTGCTCACACTGTGATTACTGTCCCTGTAAATCCCAAAACAAGATCATCAGGTTCAGTAAGTTTGGCTTGGATAGTTTCAAACTCCATCTAAAGCCCCTTTCACATGCGTCTTTAACAACACCAAGATTAGATTTTTAGTGTAAGATGCTCCTAGAATTTACTGGCTCTTGAACTAGTATGATTCTCTGCCACGGCTGTACTGCAATAAAGTAGCAAATAGAAGGTTTTTTTTTTTTTTTTTTAATAGGAAACCAAGTTGAGTCAAGTTTTATTATAAGGCCCATTCAAACAACTAAAGCAGCTTAATCCCTTTTAGCATGCACTTTTCTTTGATATTGTTGCATTTGACAGTTTTACAAAGAATATACAAAAAAACTGTAAAGACGACACTACATTCTGCTTGATCAAAGCACGCATTCATTTTTAAAATGGTAATTCTGATTGTGTTGCGTGTGTGTGTGTGGAAATGGCTGGAAATGGGGTAAATTCCAAGACAAAGGAACTTTCCTTTACAGAGTGTAGCTGCTTTGTGGCACTGGTAGAGTTCCTGCGGTGGACAAAAAAAAAAAAAAGCAAACCTTGCTCATCTGGTTGACTGAAATGTTACAATATGTACAATCCAAGTGACTACTGGGACAAGACTCGGGGTGGCTGAAACTAGGTGTAGCTGTGTTACGTGTGCTTTGCTATCTACTGGATTATTTTTTTTGTGTACAAGTGATACTAATTGCTGACTGATAACTAGAGACTCCAGTGGTAAATAGTTTCCCGCCACAACCACCCACACATCCACACCCACGCTCACACACACACACTCACACACTCACATACAATCTTTTGCCCCTTGTCATCCAGCCGGTCTCCCATTGCTAGTCAGGTGTTTTAAGCTACAGGGCCTCTGACACTCCCTTTCTACCCAGGAACAGTCAGGAACCAGACCAGCCTGTTTCTCCTTCTTGTTCCGTCGCCATGTCTGTCCATCCCAGTTCTGTCTCTGCTGAGTTGTAAAGTTACTAGGATCCCCCACTCCACATACCCATTTAATGATACATTTCGAACGGCTCACCCACTTAAGTGTGTCTGTGGCTGATCAACTCTTTCTACCTCCAGTCAATCCAGTACATCCTTGGACAGTTCATCTCAGGCCTTTACAGTCCAACTCAATTGTACAGAGGCTGCCAGCCCTAGCCATAACTTAGTTCAACTCCATTCATTGCCAATCAGCACAAACCATTTCAGTATAATCTAATTTATGCTCGAGTAAGTCATGCAACCCAGGCCTAACCTACGCAGGCTGAACATACAAGCACTTTTATGCCTCTCTGCATCTGACACTGTAAGATGAGCATCGCAGCATTGCTGTTATTTTTGTTTTACAGAACTGACAATTAAGCAAGAGGAAGAAACAGTGGAGGAAGCTGACAACAGAAGCCCAGCACTTGAAGAAGTAGGCCACACAGGGGAGGAAGGAGTAGTATTGGAGGAATCCATGACTGGCAGCCCAAGCAACGTACAAGATGGATTATCTGGGCCAAATGCGACTGCTGATGCAGGAAGTCGACAACCAAATGGTACAGATTAGTGTATTCCAAATGCCATTATAGTAGCTGTCTGGTATAATTGTTGCAATTTTTATGACGATCTTTAAGCATTAGAAATCCTAACCATTAAAACCAGGGTGGTGTGTAGTTTCCCGCACACAGTCAGAAATCATTTTGTTTTCCTCGACAGTGGGTGTGGATTGCTCTTTGCTGATTTGTTTTGGTTTGTTTCTTTGTTGAAAGACAATAGCTTAGACATGGAAGTATTATCAGGGAAAAAAATATCCTTGGAATCCCCCACAACCTGTTCCAGCTGACGCCATGACTGCCCTGGTTGTCACAGCGTTGGGATCATATTTCTCTTTTCCATCTGGCTGCAGATCAAAAGATTTGCTATTAGAGCAGAAGACAGTAATGTGTACTGAACTACATCATTCCACGATCCAGCACACATTCTGTGATAAACACATGCCAACTCCCATTCATTACTATGGAAAACATCGCATTTACTATGGAAAGGTCTACAAGTAGGTGTAGTACAGTCACATTTTCAGTAAGCAGTGTATTAAGTTCTCAAGTACCACTAAATGTCTTTAGTAAAGCAAACATGGGGAGAAGATGAAAGTTCAATTAAATCTAGATTTCATGTGAATCAATCAATTTAGATTAAACTGAATTCAGTGTAGTTCAAGTAATTTCAGTGTAATTCAACAGTCCAACACAAGTGATTTGTTTCAGTGCAGTTCACTTTAGTTTATAGGTACAGATAGAGAAATTGATTAAGTATTGTAATAAGAATTTGATTGGAATAGTTATTTTTCTTGATTTTCATTAGTTATCATCTACTAGAAGTAGTTCATGTGAGGACAATCTGTTAGACATGATATTTTATTTATAAAATCAGCTGTTCCAGGAGATACAAAAACAGAAAATGTGTGAGTTCAGTTAGAGGCAAAAAAAAAACACAGTTTGAAAGGTTGTTGATACTTTCTAAAACATCTTCCACGATGAGTGTGGTATTGACTTCCTGTGCCTGCCTCTATCAGGTGACAGGCCGTTCCAGTGCAACCAGTGTGGCGTCTCATTCACCCAGAAGGGAAACCTGCTGCGACACATCAAGCTGCACACAGGCGAAAAACCCTTCAAATGCCCCTTCTGTAGCTATGCCTGTCGGCGGCGCGATGCTCTCACTGGTCATTTGCGCACTCATGCTGGTAAGACTCCTCCTTGCCCTCTACTCTTCCCTTTGTACTCATTCACCTCTGTTAACCAGAAGAGATGACGTTAATAAGAAGTGCTTCAGAGATCCGGGAGAAAAAAAAACTTAACCCATAATGCTTTTAATGCTGGGATTGTCTATATTTATTTTTAGAGATAGTTCAATTATGTGAGACAGACCCCTGCTAATAATATATACTAATATAATGCTTGTCTTACATGTGCACACTCTCTTCCACTGCTATGTGTACTTAAATCATCTCAGTCTGTCTCTAGCATTATTATAGGAACTTTGAAAAATGCTTTGATCCTTTGTTAATAAGTGATCTCAGGACTAAAATATACCTTGAGAAAGCCAAACCATGTTCATATGTACATTCATCAGGAAGAATGTAAAGGCCCATGTCTGGTTCACCATAATGACAGTCATTGTGATGCCATACTTTCCATCTTTCAAAAAAATCTCTACATGCTTTGTAAGTACGTCAGATATTAGCTCAGATATTTCTTTATGTGACTGTGTGTCTGCTCCCGTATGAGTTAGCAGAGCTACAGTGGCCACAGTAGCCATACGAGCTGGTTGGTGACTCTCTCTTGTTGTTAGACAGATGCAGTGGTTTTTTTTTTTTTTTTTTTTCAATGTGTGAGTTATAGACAGCACTGTGAGTGCTTTGTGGTTAGGTACCAAGGACATCGTGTTGCTTAGTTGCTTGACTCACAAAGGAGGAAATTATCTGTCTGTTGAGAAACACATGGGGAGTGTTGTCTGTCTCTCTCAACTGTAACCCACTTTCCTATCAGAGAGGATGTGCTCTCCCCTCTGTTGCACCTTTGAAATTAAGGTCAGACAATACTGTTTCATTTCTACCTGTGATGCCCCAGTGGGGGTTACTCATATATAATTCTGTTTTTAGATCAAGGCAATGTCCATGTTTGGGTTCATTTTTTGTGTTTGGAATCTCTCGCCAAGTTGCAACTGAGGCACTTCTTTTACTTATTTCTTAGTATTTCTGTTTCTCCACATCTGTCGTCAACCATGACCATTTTCCCATTTTCACTTCCTTTATTGTTCAGATGTATTTGTCACATCCCCCAACCCCCTTTTTATCCTGTAAAATCATGAGGAGTAAGTTACACCTGTCTCCCACATGGGAATTTGACGTTGCTAAGCTGTTCTGTCCTGACTCTCTTTTATGTACATGGACTGACTACTCACTACTCACTAGTCCCTGGGTGCTGCAGATCTGGCAGCTTTGGCCTGGTGCTCTGCCAGGAAGAACAGGTGTAGCCAAAAGAGGGAAATAAAGCATAGAAAGAGAGGTCAGGCAAGTAAAACAAGAGTGCAAGCTAGTGAAGAAAAGTACAGCAGTGTGTACAAAAGTGTTGCATCTGGCTGCAGATTAAATGTTGGAATGTGACATTTTTCTTTGAGGCACAGTTGATTGGTGAAATGACAGTGCAGTAAAATCGTGGCTTGAGAGGCAAATGATTTTACATTTTGTAAGGCAGAGGATCTAAATTCAAGCAACTTCCCGTTTGTTAGCCAAATACAATCAGTCAAGTGAGTCTGAGTGCACAGAGGGGACCATTTGCATGAATAAGAATAGCAGCTGAAAAGTGGATTCTTCAGGTCCATCCAACATCTGCACAAGGCTGTGTGTGGGTGGTTATATAAATATGAAAAAGTAAGTCTATGTTGTGTGCGTGTGTGACAGAGTGTGTAGATGTGAGCTGATGAGAACATGGGAGTGATACTTTTGATTGAATACTGCCTACTCTACTGTTTGAGTTTCACGGCTGGAAAGCAGCAAATTGTTTCCATGATGACGTTACTCTTTCACTACCCAGAATGAATATTATTGCAATGACCTTGCAGGTACACGTACCCACACTTTGTCAAACCCTTTGTCATTAGCCACCGCTTTTTTTTTTCTTTTTTTTTATCTGTTCATACTCAGAAAAAATGATAAAGAACCCTAGTTTCGAGTTCTGCCAATTCAGTGTCATTTAAAGACCACAAGAGTACTGAATGACAGATACAGCAGAAAACCTATTATCATTCCACATCACTCATTTGAAAAAAAAGTGCCTGCTGATGTAAGATTGGCCATGACTGGCCATGTCATTCTGTAACAAAGTGGGTTTTATATCACTCGCTCAAACCAAGACATAGTCCAGATAAAAAAAAAAAACATTACTTACAGCTAAATGAATATTCAGTTCTGAGTAACATGTCTTCTCGCGTAACATGTGCTTTAAAGAGAGAAAAAAAAGAAACGCAACATCCCCTTCTGTGGGAGAAAGAGTGCTTATGTTCACGTGTAAACTATGACTTACCACATAATGTGTGTGTGTGTGTGTGTGTGTGTGTGTGTGTGTGTGTGTGTGTGTGTGTGTGTGCGCACGCGCCTGTGTGTTAGAGTCTTCATGCCTCAGACTGAAATGAGTTTGGTTTCTCTTTTCTCACGGTGTCAAGAAGAGCACTGGATCATCAACACATCTTCTAGTAATACCTGTCAGCATTATGCTAGTGAACATCTTACTACATTGCATTGCTAATGACGGTGTCTGGGTCACTGGGTCTGGCTCCCACTCACTACAGTCCCTTTATGAGTCAGTACATTAGTTTTGAGTATACTACTACAGGACACAGATCTGTTTCCTCAGTGGTGTCTGCCCTGCGTATGATTCACCTGAATGGAGTGTTTCAATTATTATTTTTTTTTATTCAACATTTACCTCAACATTCATATAGTTCCATTGTGCAAAGGTGGTGACACTGGTGACATTTAGTTGACATTTATTGGCCTGTTTCTAAGCTGTTCTTCATTTCTAACCATTGGTCAACTCATAACAAAGTGCCTCTCTGGTGGATAATAATGTCTATAAATCACAGTAGCCAATTTTAGGATAATTGTATAATTTAGTTTGGTATTCTTCTTCTTTTGTTCACATTTAAATGCATTTATTGTTTCACTGATCCACTGATGCGTTGATCCATTAATTAACTGATAAAGCCAGTTGGATGGAAGGATTGGCTGGTGGCTTGGCTGAGCTAGATGTAAAGGATATGTCTTCATCTTTCCACTTGTCTAGGTAGGAAGGAATTGAATAAAATAGAAATGGCACAATGAATCACACTCCACCTCCATGTTAGCAGTTTAACATTGGAGTTAGTTTCCTACCGCCGCATGGGATGCATGATCAACTCCGCTATTCACTCATGTTGTGCCGCAGCAGTGGGAGTTAGCGTTATGTTTCAGAGACCAAAGTTTTTTGAACTGCAGACTTTATGGTGCAACTTACACTGTCGCCCACAACTTGTCTGTTTTAGTCTGGTAACAGTTGTGTGGAATCCTCGCACTAGTAGTGGAACATCCATGATCTCAGAGGCTTGCTTCCGGTTTGTTTGCACTACTAACTGTTTACAGTGTTTACTACTACGCATTCCATGTAGTGACTGAAATTAATATGCTGTCCCTTTGAATCTTCACTTTTAGTGGGAAAACCACACAAATGTAACTACTGTGGGCGGAGTTATAAACAGCGCACATCTCTGGAGGAACATAAAGAGCGCTGCCATAGCTACCTGCAAGGTATCGGCTTGGAGCCAACTGCCAACACTGGCCCTTACACAGGTAAAACCTTTTGCTTAATCTGAAATTATGAGAATGAAGGTGGCCTAATGTGTACCGGATACAGTAGTACAGTATATTGCAATGCATCATGAAAGCTGGATCTCAAAGGAGAGAATCAGTATTAACATGTACACTTGTACACACTTATTTATTAATTATTAATCCATTGGAATTTATACATTTCAGTGCATTAATATGTGTGGACAAAATCCATTTAAAAAAGTGAAAGAAAAAAAGCCTAAACAATATTCATTACTACATTAATACAGAAGGTTTTGTGGTTATTTATTTATTATTTGCACAATTATTTTAACGTTTTCGTAAATTTGTGCATTTGTGCATATAAATATAATTACCTTATTTACTATGAATTCAGTCATTCATTCTTTAAATAAATTTGACGCAAGACAAACAACATTTCCAACAGAATTAGAAAAGTCAAGGAGGTAAAGACAGACTGAGTTTATAGATGAATTTCAGCCCGTGATTGGTCCCAATAGCTAAATTCTGATTTCTTGTCATCATCACATCCTCCAAAAAGTTACCTGTTCATTTTAGTAATCTTAACTACCCAAATGTGTTCTTGCCCTTTCTAATTCCCTTCGCTTCTCAACCTTTCAAGGTGAGGTTCCTAAAGAGCCGAGGCCCATGGCAGAGGCCAACGCCATGGCAACCTTTGATCGGCCACCTGTTATTGAAAGGCTGCACAGCAATGTGGGCAAGAGGAAGAGCACCACCCCTCAGAAATTTGTGGGTGGGTATTTTAAACATCGGTAGACAGTCAATGGTTTTATCTACTTTAATGTGGAGATAAACTCCATGAGAAGCAGCTTGAGTATTATTTACTTGAACTTCATTAGATTCCCTCCATTTGCTTTTTCTGAGTCTGAAGTTAAGCCAGTGGTTGAAAAAGATTTTTTGTATCATGTTCTGCACTGATGGATTACCATGCAAGTCATAATTATGCTGTCAAGTCAAGTAACATTATGATGAATATGGAGTCCAACTTGTGCAGCATTTCAGTAGGTTTCTGTTATCAGTGTGAGAGGAATTTTTTATTATTTGTCCAAGCAGATTCTGATTCAGTAATGTGGGCTTGAAAACTGATTTGCAGTAATCTTAGAATGCATTAGTTTAATTCTTTTTCTACTGTTTTTACTTTATGCCAATAGACGTGAAATATGTTATTAACTTATCTAATTGTTTGTTTTTTGCGTTTACTTAGTCTGAGATAGTTTTTACCTTCCCTCTCAGTGTTGCATCATACAAAAGTAAATAATATCACACAGTAACCCTGCATTACTTATGAGCACAGATTCTTTATTCTGAATTTGGTTTTATTTGCCACACTATTAGAAAAAGAGGTTGAGCAAGTATGAGCATGCTTCAGCAAGCGGATGACTTAGAGGCAAGGAAATGTTTTTTTCACTCTGTGGTTAGGTACACCTGTAACTTTGCCATTGCTCTTATCGAGAGAAAACAGCTCACCGCATCCCTGTTCTGGAGGGGTTAAATAGTGCAGTAATAGATGGATGGGGCTTTCCACCCCATTAAACTCGTACACCTAGAACATCAAGTACAGAATATGAAAAACAAGTACCGTAAATATCAGAAAGATATAAGGTTTGACGGGCTAGAAAGGAAATTTTGTGAAGTCAAGCCATGCGCATATTTTTGCACATTATTTGCCCCTCCTGTTTGTAGGTAAAAGCAAGACTATTTACATCATTTTAATCTTTTGCATCTATATTTATTATGCTTTGTGGCTTACAACTTGAAATTAGCACGATCTTGTTAAATCAATTAAGAGTCACAGTCATAGTGCTACTCTATTTTGTCCAGGTGAAAAGATGGCTCGCTACAGCTATCCGGATGTAAGCTATGAAATGGGTCTTAAGTATGAAAAGCAGGCTGAAATGATGCCAGCCCACATGATGGACCAGGCCATCAGCAATGCCATCACATACTTGGGATCGGACACCCTTCGGCCCATGCTCCACCATCCAGGTCCACCTCTCTCTATGGCCGACGTGGTACCCATGGTCAACCCCCTTTTTCACCATGTCTTGCAACTGGGCCAACGAACAGAGCGTCAAGGAAACTGTGACACGCTGCCACCACATGCACCTCAGCCTCATGACTTCCCCAGCCATCCCACCTCAAACGGCCCCACTGCTGTAACCAGGCAGGGCAAGCCTCCCCAGTCAGGGCACGAGGAATCTCCCAACAACAGTGGAGTTGACTCTGCCGACTCAGCTCGCAGCAGCCCTCAGGAGAGGCCGGGCTATCATGGGAGCAACCGCACTCCTGGCCTCAGGTCTCAAGCAAGTCCAGCAGTGGTCTATTCAGGTGAGCGGGTGACAACAGCGTCACCGAGGAGCGGGGCAGGAATCGGAGCTGGGCTGATACGAGTGGCCACCGAGAGGCCTGTGAGCCAGGAAGGAGTGCGGGTGTTTGGGCGAGAGGGCCAGGAGTTGCGGGCCTTCCAGTGCGAGCACTGTCGGGTGCTCTTCCTGGATCATGTCATGTACACCATCCACATGGGTTGCCACGGATACAGAGATCCACTGGAGTGCAACATCTGTGGTCACCGCAGCAAAGATCGCTATGAGTTCTCCTCTCATATAGTCCGTGGTGAACACACCTTCCAGTAAGAGGATGGGTAGGAATTAAGAGGAAGAAAAAGAAGGGAAAGGAGCAATAGCCTGATATCCATCCTTATCCCCAGACCTCTGAGACTGCACAGTTGAATGGCACTGTAGACAAGTGTAGCACAATCAAAGACTTCTTTTTAAGCTACTTATTGTGAATCAGAACAGTTTAACAATCATATGAAGGTATGGGCCAAAGACACATTTTCTACATATTTAATTAATGATTAAATGTAGAGGAAGGAAGGTAAGATTTTTCTCCTAAAATGTTCACAAATTATTTAACAGAGCAGCTGTCAGACAACTTTGACTAGTTTTTCCTTTTTAGTCTTACTTGTAAATGTCTCCTTTTGTCCTTGTCCCTTCGCTACCTTGTGGGCTCAATGTGGTGGATGAAATTATAGTTTCAGTTTAACCAGATAAAATATCATGGCTAACACAGAGGTAAAATAAAATAAGACTTCAGATAGTCTCTAATTAAAAAAATGACCTTTCATGGATTCTTTCATGATAAAAGCATTATGTGGTGTGATGGAATTTATGTGTTCAAAAAAGTTAAGATCGTCTACAGTATGTTTAAAATATTAAATGTATTGAAACCATTTAAATTGCTTGCTAAAAACAGACCCCACAAAGAGTCATGGTACTGATTTGGCCCACTGTTGCATATCCTACACAGGATCTGTGCTTTTTTTTTTTTTTTTTTTTTTTTGTCCCGCGCCCGCCCCCCGCCCCCCGCCATTTTTTGTGGAAAAAACCAAAAAAGCAGTTGAAAATGGGGGGCAAAGCCCCGGGGGTTTCTTTTTTTTTTTTTTTTGTCTTAAGACGTTGCCACAACCAATAATTCTCAGTTTCCTATGAATAACTGTGTAATGGTACGAATAGCTGAATAGCTCCAATTTGGTGTCCATTGGACATTACTGCCAGTAGACTTGGTGCCAGTACATTGCTGTCAGGCTTTGAACGTAATCTATGAAGAGAACTCTAAATACAAGTAGCAAATCAATGTCTCAACAAAATACAATTTGTACATAAATTATGGTGATCGTAAATGAGTTTTCCTCTCCAAAACAAATACTACCAAACGTAACGAAATCTTACACAATTTTATTACTGCATTTTATATCTAATTTATTTATCTAATTTGTGAAGCTTTAGCTGAAGTCTAGAAAAGCTGAAACCAGACAACTACCTCTTAACAACCACTTTGTAACATTCAGCTGATGTGATAGTCTTCACCGATAAATTTTTTACAGATCAACTGACATATTTATTATATTAGGTTATTTTTCCTATCGCAAATCATGCAAAAATCAGTCACTTAGCACCACCAATGCTTGTCTGATTCTCACTGGCTGGACGAGCACTTTTGTACCACCAGCACACAAAAAGAAAGCCACCAACCTTCTGTTGGTTGTTTGTGTAATTTGTAATATTAAAAGAAGAAATAAACAGCTGAGTAACTTAGCTCAACCAATTCTCAAAAGGTTAAACCTATTTTACATTAGATTATTCTATAACATTTGAAACACATGTATCACATGTATCCAAGTTTGTATCTTGTATTGAATGTAATAAAATCCAATATGCAGATTTGACCATTTACTGATGAAAGGGGAAAAAATCACAAATATTTTGATATTGATTTAATGCAAATGTTTCAGTTAGGGTGCTTACTGAAAGTTGCAAGTATAATGAATTTGGCGTTCATTCATTTATAGAATATACATTTTAAATTGTCATACATTTGTTAATCACTTTTATTTGTTATCCCATGAGACCAAATTTGGTGCTTGTATTAGGATCTATTTCTCTCCGTAGCAATCAGCCTCTATTTAGTGTGCACTAACAAAGTAGAACTATTGATCATGAAGCAAAATCACACTGGAAGGAAAACAAGAAAGTACAAAGTGAAGCCTCATGGCAACATTCAAAAAGTTCAGCCATGGCCATCTTTTCTCATCTTTTCCTCCTACAGGAAATTATTAGATCCTGATGACTCACCGGCCGTTTGTTTGAAACTGGACTTCCACATTGACAGCCTAAGATGACAGGGGGAGGTAACTGTAAAAAATCTAGAAGTTGTTGAAGTTGTAACTACCTGCCTGGAGAATGATTATCTATGGGAATGGATACCACTGATGTACCTCACTTAATGCTTTAGGCCTTTAGGTCTTTTTGATCTAATCCACTTTGTGATTTAGGACGGATGGGTCTGTGTGTATATATAGTATAAATGTTGTGCTTTTTTTTTTTCTGGGCTTGAGGATGGGGTCATGGGGTCGGCATTATTGGTGCTGTTTTCTAGCACGGTAAACACATGCTTATAAGCTTATACTGTTTGTGCTTTCAATGCCATCTTTCATCCTATTTGTATGTCATGACAAACACAGGGAAACATCACAGAGGTGCATTTACCATGGCACCTTAAACTGTTGCCTAGCGCGGCTTTAACTGAAGCTGAATCCCTAAAATGTATTGCATTATGGGAATTGAAGGAGTTCTTGATTTGTATGTCATGCTGGTTTCCCACTGTAATATTATTAACCTGATCTTGTTTGAATCAGGCTGCTCATTATCTGCTCCTCGTAAACACCATCTCACACACAAGCGCGCACATACACACACACACACACTAATGTCTTTTCCTCGCTCTTTGAATCTTGCTCTTTGCATTGGTATAATGTTGCGGCTTTCATCTGTGACCTTTTACAGAGGGAATCAAGAATGAGACAGCATGAGCAAGAGGAAAGGTGAAATAAGTGTGGTTACCACAATTCTTTCAGGTACCACTCTGAAGGCACTTCCCAAAACTGTAGCATTCCGAGTCACCTCTGTAGACCTGCTCTAACATTAAAAGCTCATGTATGCAAAATGTAAATGGCAGATCCACATTCTCTTGTCCATCATCTACAGTATGTTGAAGGATTAGAGATTTTGATCCACAAGGCCAGTTGCAGCTCCTCCACAGTTACTGTCTCTGCCTGTGAAAGGACTCAGATACGACTGTGCTTTGTACAGTTGGCCATGCACTTTATGTCCATGCCCTGCCTATAGGCAGCATTATTTGTCTGTTGTTACATTAAAGTGTAGGTGGAGTGGAAAGCCATTACTGACAAGACACAGGTTCCTCTTTTCTTTTAAAAGAACAATCTTGGAGTTGCACATTGGACATTAATCTCCACATAGGTTTTGCAACATGTTCTTTTTTACTGTATCATTACTCCCATTTCTCCCAGGTCACTTTTCTACCATCATAAACAGCTGATTATTCTCTAAGGTTAAACTCAGTGATCTACTTGTCTATGTTCAACATCTACTTGTGATCAAAAGGCAGCTTTTTCACTGTTTACATGTTGCTTCTCTATTGCGCAACTGGTGCCCAGCTAGCATAAAAACGCACTGTCTGTAAAGTATTGGCACTGGAAATTGTTTACACCTCGCAGCTGTGATATTGACTCTATACATTCCTCTACTATATTATTCCTGTATATATATCATCTGAAAGCCTTATCAGTTTAGACAGGGGTCCTTCTAAAACAACATATCCTTTTCATTTTCCTATGGTAAAACATAAGTTAATGCTACCCTGATTTATTGTTTTCTTAATCCCCTTCAGAGGGAGTAATAATAAACAGACCAGGACAATTGACTTTGTGCTCTCATAGTAATGTTGTGATAAGAACATCCTTAGTTGTCCACAAATTCTTTAAGTGAAGCAGCCATATGAACAAAAAAGTAAAGAAGAAAGGTCTTCTGTCAGTCCTCCTAGTGAGTGAGGAGTTTACTTGAAAATCAAAATCATTGGTATTGTTTCAGATTGCGGGGATGTTTTTTGTAAATCTTGAAAGTGAGTGCGCTAAATGCCTATTTTTCTGCTGAAATGTTAATGCAAATAGTTTTGTGAACTTTGTGTGTGTTTTTTTTAAGTTGAAAAATGTTTACAAAAATGTAAAAGACAGGGTTCAGGTGCATTGTATTTTTTAAGAAATAATATATGAGCGGTGTATATTTTGGCACTGAACATTGACATTATCCAAAAAAACGTGTGCTGATTGATCATTTCTCATGTTGATAACAACTTTCTGCTGTGAGGGCTCTCAGGTATTTGCATAGGCTGTGTATTTTTATGTCCTAAAATATGTGATTTATTTATCAAAAAAGATGCACATTAATTGAAATTCTTTGGTAATTTCTCTTGACTCAGTCCAGTACTGAATGTGCTGAAGGAAGTTGGAGGATTGTTCAGCCCTGTTTTTCAACGTCAATGACAATACATGAAGACACACTGCTGTGAAGAATACAATGTATATTTTTGAGGCATGGGTTTCTCTCTATTAAAGAAATGATTTTACTGCCTTTCCTGTTTTGTGAATTTCGAAACAGGAAGTGAGACGTGTTGTTATATAGTTTTCTTCAAAACATGCAAACTGTATCTTACTTGCAATTAAAAGATTTTATTGTGAGAAATAAAAATACAGTGCTTTAATCTTGTGAACAACATGTAAAGGCAAGTCAGGAAAAAATCATTAAACTGGAAAAAGAGGCTAAATATGTCTGGAGAAATGACTTGACCACTTATGCCCTCTTAACAACTACTTTGTAACAATATGCCCAGCATCTCTATGAATTCTGCTTGTTATATCTGTGACTTTGACCATAATCACCTAGAGATTCTGCACAGCAGAGTAGAAATCCACAAGCATAGACAAGGATCAAATAGTGAAGTGAGGAGATCGTCAAGTGACATTTATTTAAAGTGTTCACTCTGTCAACTGTAGAACACTTGTGTGAGATTCCACCCTGAGTGTGTTTTATTTGAATGGAAGGCTACATAATCAATCAGAAAATGTGCTCTTGTCGCTACATGTGGTCACTGTGTCTTAGAGTTATACTTAACATAATAGTATAATTTACTGCCCATACAGCAGGATTTTTCTCACCACAATCTGTCTTTCTGCTGCTTAGTTTAATGAGAGGCTCAAATCACCAACTGTACAAAATCATACTGTATGTGAATTCTATTTCAGGCAAATTTTCCACTTAAACCGGACATGACTCATGAAAAGTGAAAGATAATTAAAATGAGACAAATAAGCCGTGATTGTGAAGCACTGGAGTTGCACTGCCAGTGTAACAGTGTGCTGATGGAGCACTCATTTTTTTCAAGGTCAAATAGCAATAAGTCTTGTGGACCACTGCTGACATGAGTAGAGCCGTACAGTATATAAACAGTTTATGGCAGCAATAGAATTTCACTTTCTGAAAAAATGTTTTCATTATTTTAATTATTCAATACAGTAATATTTTGGCCTATCACAGAGGCCAATAGATGGGCTGATTTCTTTGCCCTCAAGAAAATGTCAAACCTGTCAACAAACATTGAATAGCCTACTGTCTCATTTATTACCTGAATAAATACAGAAATAAAACATGTCAGCAACTGGCTCCTTCAGCGCTTATGAATGTCAAATATGAGGAAGCTGGATGCATAATACATTCTTCTGCACATAAAAATGTCTATTTCTAAGTAAAGTAAAGTAAAATCATTTCTAGTAATCGCAGGCAGACATACTCCACTGTACTGTACAGCGTTAGTGGCTTGCCTTACTTTGCACTGTAACGACTGGTGTTTGTTCCCCTCCAGTCT